TTTGCACAGGGCAACATAAACTGTAAGGTTAGAAAAATGTGGTAAACTCCATGGTGACTCAAGTGATAATAGAGACAAACTGTAAACTTAAACGTCTAAATACCTTAGTCGCGGTGCAGATGATCCGCCTTTGACCAAATCAAAGAAGAGATAAGTCAAAATTACATGTAAACTGGTCTAAACATCTCTGACAGTAAAAATAAAAAAATAAAAATAAAAGGTGGTCATCCATGATGTTGTTTTTATCAATTTTTTTCCATTTTTATTTATCAATTAATTGACTCAATCCTCAATGAATTAGTATGATTGAGTATGACCACACAAATTCTGCCGTGACCAGTATAGGGTTGGAAAGGAAAATTTGATAAAAAGTTGGTCAATGTTACGTTATGGTATCTCCATTAAGGATACTTTATCATTCCTCCAATATTATTTTTTTTCTGGTCCTCTCCCAAGGTTAAATCGTCATATCATAATTTTAAAGCTTTCTCGATCTTAAATCGCTCGGTGATAGGTGGTGGTGTCTTCGTGGTGTCTTGGTGGTCGCAGCCACGGAAACAATAGGTATTGAGGCATTCACAGAATCCACAACCCTTGCACACAGGTAAGCAATCAGCAGTAGTTTTGCAATGGGGTAGGGCGTCAGTTCCTGCACTTGCTGATCCTTCCACAGAATCTGCCAGCATTTTTTTTTTTCCAATTACTCGAACTTTTCAACACAAAACTTGATCAAAGAAAAAAAAAACATAATCAAAAAACTTCAATACAAATCATTTATCATTTAGAAAAAAATAAATTGCAGATTACGTTTTTAAACATAAACAAAATTTTGAAAAACATAGCCCACTATATAAGTCGATTCTTATGAGATACACTTCTTTTTAATTTTTCTAATAATAAGTCTTCTACCATGAGTTCAAGTAGAACCCACTAGATATTAAGTGGTGGGTTCTTGTCCAATACACTTTTTTTTTTATGCGATGATAAAGCATCTATCATGAATTTCAAGTAAAACCCACTATATAAGTGGATACCGTTAAAGAAAATTAACAAAAAAAAATATATCGGAGTGGATCTGGATTCAACTGACTGAATTCCAATAACAAGTATAAGAAATCTTAGAGATCAGCAACCAATTACCAGAGGAAATGACCAAGAGCACCACTAGGAAAGCCAAGAGGAATGAAGCTTTCTCCATATCTCTGTCGAAGAAGTTTATGAAAAAAAGAAGCTATATTCAATAGATAATTGTGTTTCAATACAACCAACACAAAGAAAAGGTTTATATAGGCATTTTAATTTTAACATGTGTGAAGAAATACAATGGTATTTATGCATTAATTTTCTCTCTTATTGAATTGAATGCCTGTAATCTACCAATCTCATAATTTTCTCCTTGGATTGATGAAATTTGAGAGAAATATTATGTTTAATTACCAAATATTCTTATCAAATTTTTTTATCTTAAATGACATGACACAATCTTCGTCATCAGATAAGTGGATTCTATTAATATTGAATGATGGCGATTGTGTCATGTCATTTAAGATGAGAAATTTGGTGAGAATAACATTGCTCATTAATCTTCTTTTTTTGGCAACTACAGTTTTGTATTGTCGGGTACATTAATTACTTATTACTAAAATATGCAAATTTTAAAATATGTATTTAGTCAATAAATATTTAGGAGAATGGGTACTTAATTACTAAAATATCTGACTATTTACTTAATAGGAATAAGTTCTAAAAAGTGTAATCTCTCCCATTTTGTTAGACCCAATTTGTTTTGAAGGCCCAATAAAAAGGTTTTAGTTTTGTTTGTCCCACAAACTTATATGGCCTTGGGAAAAAAAAAAACCCAACTATAACTGTAATACCATGTCATTTTTTATACATGGTACCACCAATGAGTTCGGATCTTGACAATTTTTTGGGATCAAATCATGAAAGATTTATTTCTCGTGAATACTTTAGTTCTGACATGGATAACTTTATCTTTTACCAGATTGAAAAGGGGATTAGTCGAAATACACGTTAACTAACTCGAATACCCCTGTCTGTTGAATTAAAAACATACTACAATAACTTAGGAATTCAATGGCAAAGTTTCTGAAATTTGTTCATCAAATCTGTAGCAATTGCAGTCAGGCAAATTAAAATTAAGTATCTTATTCAGACTTGATAACTTAATTTCGTTTCTGCGTTTGGAATATGAAATTCCCTTTTAAAATGACTGAATTTGGCTGAAATGGAATTTTTATGTATGGAAAGCTGTTTCCTGTTTTTTTTTCCCAACGTTCTCATCCCAAATAAGCATACCCAACCAAGCAAAACCTGTAAATCTTTTAAATTTTTTATTTTCAGTGTTACTGTTTTATAAAAAAAACATAAATATTACATGATAATCTTGGGTAAAGTAATGCTATCCATTGTTGGACATTATGAATCGTGTCACAGATCAAAATCTCTCCTCACATGGAATAAAACTGCATATATCTAACTCACACAAGATGTCGCAAGTGTGCATGCCCTTTTAGTCTTGGTTAGAGAATCAATCAACAATGTCTGCATTCATTTAGATTACAATACAATAGTTTATAAACACAGTTCTTCACTGATATTTACAGGGGAAAAAAATAACAATTAAAAAAATTATAAAAGTATTCACAATCCAATCTCTGTTCTGATTAGAATTGGCAAATCCTAGGAAACTTAACAACAAATTGTGGGCATGCTAAGGAACTTCCAAAACCCACATTAATCAATCAAATCCTACAAGCAAATACATTCCAGGAAATATGTGTCAAGGACTGTGTGTCTTGTTAAGCAAATATGTTGCTAACATTGAAAGCAGTAGAACCGCTAGTGCCATAAAGGTATACAATTGCCATGGCTGTGCTGCCTCGTCCACACCCTCGGCCTGTTGGTCAAGAACCGAATTGGTTGAACTGTCTGCAGTGATGGAAGACCCAACTTCAGTCTCACTAGCAGGTGTATCTTTTGATAATTCTTCTACCTGATTAGAAAAAATTCAGAGCAATCCTTCAGAACAATAATATATAGCTAGAGACATTTATCAAAGTGTTCCATTAGTGATGCATGCACCCTTTGATAAGTAGAGGGAATTGTGATAATTCATTACGATCCAACTTTCACCAGTACACTGGACATATAACAAATGGAATGAAATTTTTCATGCTTACTGCAATAAAACAACTAAATTAGATTGTATTAAAGAGAAGTTAAAAGACTGTTGACGATTAATATGAATGACACTTCGGAAATTGAAATTTTGTATATCATTTCCTGTAGCAAAATATTCTATAAAATTCCCAGTTGATAATCCAGAAGAAGCTGAAACAATAGTTTTTCTGTGCACTGTGCTCACCATGTGCCTGCAACTCTGCATTACCTATTTCCCATTGTATTCGATGCATGGAAAAGTAAACTTGACTCGCAGCACACTGACAGCCCAACAATGGAAAGCAACAATGAAAGTATGAAACTAATGAACAGCTAGTGCAAGGTGACAAAATTTCTCGTTATGCAATGGATAATTGATCAAAGTGTAAGAGCACCTCAAAATCTTATCCTCTTACATTTTAACAGGAAAAAAAATAAAGGGAGGTTTCAATGAATCATGCTGAAGACATGCCAGGATGAGAGAGATCAGATTTATGAGTCCTTCAATCTGCATAGTTGGGTTGGACTTCAATGTTACCTATTCCAGTCTCATAAGCAATTGATTGACAAAAGAACCATATTTTTTATGTATACTACAATTTATGAAACCAAACACATAAAAAGCAAAAAATGTTTTCTGGTGTGAGATAAATGCAGAACAAGAAAGCGAACAACTAGTCCAGCACTGTGAGAATATTAGTCATTTCTCACTTGGTTGCTGGTTGATGGTGTCCTAGTACGGAATGCAAATCCAGTTTGACAGCAGATATTTTGTCCAAGTATTACCAACTGTCTTTGGTTTAACCCAGCACCAACCCCCCGAAGGGACCAACATTACGTACTATTAAAACCGATCAGGCAGTGAAAAACTCATCACCACCCCTAACATAATCCTTTCAATCTCATGATTTGCAAGCCCACTCATAAATTAACTACAAATTCGAAAAGACAGTAACGGCACCTGCCTGGAACATTTCTGAGGATGGTTCTGTTGCCACTTCCCTGCAAATTTCAGTACGAATAGGATTAGCTGATCCAAGCTTGGAAGATGGTCTATCAAAATTGCCTCCATTGTCATGTATTCTTACAGATGCGTCCTTCATTGTTCTCTGTAACTTCACCCTCAAAATTTTGTTTTCCTCTCTTAAAGAATATAACTGCACAAAATTCCAGCCAATGTATCATTATCTGAATTTAAAAGAAGAACGGATTAAATAATTCTATAGAACTTTTGAGATATTTAATTCATTGGGAGTAAGAAAGACACAATAGGTGCAAGTAAAAGCAAAAGTAAGAAAGAAGAAAGCAAAATACCTGCTTCTGTATGCGCTCCCTTTCCGTGGCTAGTTGCATGATCATGTCCATAATTAGATTGGTTTTAACAGTAATGTCGTTCACCCTTGATAGTTTATCATTCTTAACTTGATTGAGTGATGTCTCCAAGCATTCCATTCTGGACCTCAGAAAATCTAGTTCTTTGTTAAGGTCTAAGTTAGTTTCAGACAATATAAGGCATTGCTCCTCTGCATTCTCACACTTACTTTCAGCTTTCGAAACCTTTTGTTTCAGTTCATCAATCAGAGTTTCCATATCCCAAATTGCAGAATACAACAAGTTCTGCTGCTCTTGACTTGCTTCAGAGGAAGCCCTTGCATGTTGTAGTTGTGGTTCTAATTCCCTCAATTGCTTCTCTAGTAAGCTCACCTTCTCTGTGCTGCTATCATTATTACCTTTAAGAAAACCCAGCTCTTCTGTTAGTTCCAAGTTTGTCTCTGTTAACTGCACAATTTTGGCTTCTGCACTTTCGGCCCTACTTTCTGTGGCATAAATATTTTCTTTCAGGGACTCAATTACACTGTCCATTTCTCTAAGTTGATCTTGAGTCACTTCAATGACTCCATTGGCTTTCTTCAGCTGGGATTCAGATTCTCTCAGTTGTGCTTCAAGCAATGTAACTTTTTCCTTCAAAGCAGATACTTCAGAATTATCAGCAATAAGTTGTGCATTGCTGCTATTGAGCTTTTGTACAATAGTTTCTTTAGCTTTCAACTGTTCTATGCATTCTTGGAGTCTAGATTTCATCTGCTCTTCTCGTTGGGCTGAACCATTTAGATTGAATTGAACAACTTGAAGTCGGCCCACCAGTCCCTTTGAAATTCCCAAAAGCACCTCTGCTGCATTATCCGATTCTAAAAACCTACCCCAAACAACTTCTGCCGCCTCTTCCATGCAGAAAGTTACTTGTTCTGTTAGGCGTAGCTTTAATTTTAAATCTTCCTCATTTTCTTTAGATTTTGTTAACTTTTTCTCAAGATCTAGCTCTCTTGCAAGAGATTTCTCCAGCATTCTAAGAATTTGTCTTTGCTCAACCATCTGCATTTGTGATTTCACACCTACATTGGAAACTTGAAAATCTCGTGATAAGCCCATTCCCCTGTCATATTTCCCTGTTAAGAAACATGTGTCAGAAAACGGTCTTATATCTTCACTTTTAAGCAAACTGGTTATTCATTGGACATATGTAACTTACAATCATTATGGTTAGAAGCTAATGAGGTCATCTGCAACTTGGCCAACTGCATATTCATCTCTAGGACATGCTCTTGTGACTGCTTCAACAATTCTTCTGAATCGTGCAATTTACCTTCCACTGCAGTAACCAAATCTCCCAAGTGTCCAAATGAAGCTATTTTATAACAAGTATCGACAATCAGAGCTTCTAGAGCACCCATGAAAGTGTTCAACTCTCTAACCTCAGAATCTAAAATGCCATTTAAGAGATCAAATGTCCACGCCTTCTCAATGCAGTCCCCTGCAATACTGTCATTTTCTGCGGCCACTGCTTCAAAATTAATATCACACGACAACAAGTTCATCAAAAGTGTGTTCAAATTTAGCAACTTCTCAGAGGAGTAAGCCAAGTCCAAGTCCACTCTAGTTAAAACTTCCATGGCACTTGCTAACTCTCCCATGTCCTTGGTATCAGATGCAAGACCTTCTTGTGACAATATTTTCCCAAACCCTTTATCATCAACATCAATGTTCTGTGAAGCATATTCACCAATTGACATTGTTTTGCTATTCTGATCCTCAACCTGGGGACAATAAGAAGATAGAAACTTTTAAGGAAACAAAATTTCAGTACTCCATATTTCTTATCAAACTCAAAATATGACAACACGAGAAACTGCAAGAAGGTGAAAACAAGCCCAAGCAGAATGAATTAATAGGAGAACATTAACAATAGCTCAAATGCGATACATTGCCATGCTGAAACCCTTGTGTATTCTTCACTTACACATGAGGTAAGGGTTATCATTAGTAACCCATTATGGACTTCTTAAGCAACTGGGGCAACGATTAAAGCATCCATTATGTCTCATTGTGGACTTCTTAAGCAACCCATTATGGACTTTTTCATGGATATGATCCTTTAGAGCAAAATAAATAAAGTTAGTACAAAAAAGGAAAGAACAGAATGGAAGTATGTCTCATTCTCCTCACCAAAAAGGAAAAAATACAAGAATGAAAAGTAGGAGAAAGAGGAATAGAAAAGCTGAAAGAAACATCCATTTTATGAATCTCTCCACCCCTCCTCCATGCTTTTAAGAAGAAATGAGAAGTCACCTATCAGGTTACCAATTACTCAAAATAAAAGGGAGTTGGGTAAAGCAAACTCCCTCCTTGGACGAGCATCAATAAGAACCCTTAAACTATCAGAGAAAAAGTTTGAAATCCACATCAATCTATCAACGCCGCCTCAAGTGTGACCACCCTCCCACATAGAGAAGGCTAAAAACCTAAAAACCAAATGCTAGATATGCACAAACAGAAGCTAAACTGGGTGCATCTTACTGCAGAAGCACAAAGTGGAAACCAATATGCAAAGAGAAATAAATCCAAGACCCCCTAAAGCTCCAATACCATGCCTGACCATTGATAACTTGAAAAACTTAAGATATTAGAGAGTGGCCCAACAACGTATATCATATCTTCTGCCTCACCTTCTGCTGTAAGTCTATTCAAACTCATTGATCAAGCTTAGCAGAAACCTTTGAGTCCTGATATCTTGCCATGGACACCTATCACTCTGGTAGAAATCGTAAATAACAGTTTCCACTACCTTGTACCCTCCATCGCCATTTCTTGTCAAGTAGTAAGGACAACAAAGAAAAAAGAGCTCCTAGCCTCCCTCCCATACATTCACCAGTATTGGATAAATGTTCCAGGATGGCCATTTCAAATTTGAACAGATGCATCACTTTGATGTCTCAATCAATCTAAGTACAATAATGACCAAGGAAAATCCTTCACCTTAATCAAGAAAACATCTGCTTATAATAATATTAGTGGAAGCACAAAACCACTCTTTAAGGTTTAATTATCTCACTAATTCCTAGTCCTTTCATCGCAGCATGGATAATTATGGAAGCATTTGGGCATTCAAGACAGACCAGGAACTCAGCAACGAACCAAAAACAAAAAACTGTGCTCTGACATACAAAGAGACAGGAGCATGATCAGTTACATAAAATATGGCTAGTGAGTAATGATATTATGAAAGTAAAGTGATCTTCAAACTGTTTCCCGATAAAGAACCAGAAGGACCGAATCAATCCAAATCAAATCGTAGTAGAAAATCAGGTACTTCAATTCAGTTAAACAAGGAGCAGAGACCTCAGTTAGCTATATAATTGGCGAGCATAGAACAAGACTTCCAAATCTATTCAAAATTTCTCAAATAAACTTCAATAAAGATATAGTTTTTCTTGTAGGCATTGGTATCTGGCCAATTCATGTCAAACTTTAATGTACTATTAGAAACCATTTTTGTTTCAAGAATGGTTACAACTTCCAAAATAACAGAACACAAAACCCACTTTACAATTCTTCACAGTTTTGAGTGTCTCGGCAAATTGAGAACTATGTAAGGGGCTTCATTTACACACTCCACACTACTAACATTGTCATTGAGCCTACTAATTGCATTAATTTCCAAGATTTCACACAACCAAAAAAGAAAAATAAAGACGAACCGACTTAAGTCTAGAGACCAACATTCAGCACAGACAAACACTAACCCATATGCTATTTTAGTGATATTCGAAGGACCTTTTTACAGTCTAGAATTCTATATGACTCCAATTCCACAGATTAGCCTTAATTTTCCATACTTAACTGGAAAATTAACCTAAAATCAACATTCAACTCCAACAGACACTAGCCCATATAATATATATCCGGAAAAGTCATCAACTTTCAAGCCCAAAATTGTATACAAGAATCACAAGAATGAGGAAAAGCAAACAGAATTAAACAGAGTTGAATTACCTGAAGAAAAAATTAATGGGTCCGCTTGGATTATCACAGGAACCAGGAAATTTAAGTGTCTCATTCAATAGCTTTTCCCCATCACCATTAACTCAACGTGTGAACCATTATGAGGGTACATCTAACGTGCGCCATAGATACGGTAGATGGAATGGTCAAACCTGAAAAGGTAGTTGGCGTAAACTGGTGAATGTGTGGTTGATTGGTCTTCTCTCCTATTTCCTGTGAGTTGAGTTGCCACCATTATGTGGCCAGGAGGAGAATCAGATGGAGTGGAGGATTGTTGGCTGCTTTGATCCTTCGTGGGGGGGACAGAACGAGAAATGAGATAGCTCTCGGACACACAAAAATGAAGAACAAAAAACCCAAGATGTGTAAATTGGCTGAGATCCTATTCCGTGGACATCTTGGGATCAAAAGTTTGTGTCTTGGATCATTCACACTTGTTTATTGGCATATGTATTGAATAGACAAATATTAATGAGGTAAAATAGGAATGAAAAAAAAAAAAAAAAAAGATGCATTAATCCTCCTGTTTTAACTCACTAATGAGGATTTCGTTTTTACCAAATTACAACATTTTTTAATACGAAATCGATAATTTTGTTTTTGTTTAAAAACGTGGTCAATAAAATTTTTTTAAAATAAAAAATGTTATCAATAGTTGTATTGAACACATATGAAAAGCATAAAAAACCATGTTTGCTAAACAAATCTTTTAAAAACATATTTACTTTTTTATTTTGCTTTTACTTAAAAGTGTATTTAAAAATGTTTTTTATCTTTTCATAAAAATTTCATATTTAGATCACATTTTTTTTTTAAAAAAAGTGAGGTTATTGACTCTACTTTTTAATAAAAGCGGGATTATTGAATTCGTTTTTAAATAAAAATGAAATTATTGATTTCCCTTTTAAAAAATATCATAATTTATTAATCAATATTAAAATTGTCCTAGATTGGTTATAAAATTTAAAAATTACTGCATGGTCATTTTTAAAAATACTCCTACTGCGCACGTTAGCAACTGGCAGAATCTCTGCATTCAATAATTGAGGTTTGAGGCCAACAAATACGACAAGGAGGAGACAAAGAAGTACCATTTCGGGTTAATTCGAATTTGTTTTAAAAAAAATTAATGTTTGAGCTAACATTTTTAATATTTGAGTTACATGGGTTAAAGTTTCGGGTTCGTAGGTTCAACTCGAGTTCTAACCCGAAGGCCTATATATGTTTAAGGGTTATTTTGTTTTTAATTTATTTATTTTCATTAGTTGTTGAAAATAATAAAATCCAATAAAAGAAATTATATTTGGGTAACTAGTTGGATCAGTGTAATGTCTTTGACTACACACACTCCCATTATTAATAAGACAACATAGGTGGTGGGTGGAACAAAAGGACAATTAAAATTCTGAAACATAGACACTACAAGTTCTCATTGTCCATTTTAATGTCTCCATCGTTTGTTTGTTGCGTCCCACTAAATATTAGTACAACCCATTACCCATAAACCCCCGCGAAGCATAAATGGTCCAAATAAAAAGTGTAGAATGAATTGATAGAGGATCCTAAAAAAAGCTAATGTTCCGTTTGGTAAGAAGAATAAAAAATATGAATGATACATTTTTTATCTTTTTATGATGAAAAGTAGGAATAATACATTTTTCTTCTTTTGTGTTTAATTGGAAGGATGGAAAATAAAAATAACTAATTTTCTTTTAATTTTTTTTTTTTTTTTGCTGGCTAAGATTAAGGGTGAAACAATTGAATCGTGTCGTCTTATATTCGTGTTGAGTCATAAAATTATGAGTCTTTTATATTTCTTGTTTACGTGTCAGGTCATTTTCAAGTTCGTGTCAAGTTATAATCAAGTTCATGTCATAAAATTCGTGTCATCGTGTTTAGTCCAAAATTTTCACCCCTAGTTAAGATGAAAAAAATATTTTTTTAAATTTAAAATTTTTATTTTTTATTTTTATTTTTAATTTATATATATATACACATATTTTATCATTATTTTTTATATGAAATTAATATATATATATATATAATATATAGACAAATAAGATACATTTCAACATAAATAATTAACTTTGTATCTATTTTCTTTCCGATTTTAAAGGGATTGATTTTAGTGAGTTAGAAGGAAAGTTAATTCATCTACTTTTCCATCTTTCTTATTTTCCTTCCTTACCAAACATTTTTTTTTTATCCCTCCAACTTTCCATCCTTTCAACTTTCCATGTTGTCATTTTTTCATCATACCAAACGAAACATAAAACTAACTACTAATTCAATGAATTTTGAGTGATTAGATTTGTAAATTAAGTTTAAATAGTATTGTTCAAAAACTTTAGTTATATATAACTTAGTTTTTTTATGAAATCAAAGAAAATATTTAGTGTAATGGTCCAGTATCACGTCACATAATGTCATTATGTAATAATAAAGTAATAAGTGAACAAATAAATTTCATAGAATTTAATAACTATTACTCATCTAGGTAATATAAATATAAGGGAAACTCCACGATACCCACAAAAAATAAAAAAAAAATTAGTATTATACCGTAAGTTACAATTTTTTATAATAAAATTACACATTTGAAATAAAAGTTAAAAGTGCTTTAAGCGAAGGCCATAATCGATCACAAACCGACTCCCATGATCAATTATAAGTTTATCTGGAACATCTGTAACTTATTACTTATGAGTTGTAAGTTGATCTTTAAAATTGTTTATCTAATCTTTGAAAATTGTAATTTTGGTATTGATTGCAACCTCTCATGATTAATTAAGTCTTTTAAAATTTATAACTTATATTTCAAAAAAAATTATAACTTAATATTAAAAAATTATAATTTTTAATACGATACCCTTTTCCTAAATATAATAACTAATCTATATAAAGAATAAAATTCACTTTAATCTTTTGTTGATATTTCATTGGATAATAATTATTGCGACGACAGAGTATCACTATTATATTAAATATTTAGTCAGAAATTCCCATGTGTGGTCAATCTTTTTACCCCTTTATGAGGTTAGGTATGAACCAAACAATAGATGAGGGATGAGGTTAATAATCCTTGGCAAAAGGCTCATCACAAAAAGCTTACCAACCTGACATTCCACTCGAAAAAGGCAGGGACAGGACAGAACTGAAGGTAGTTATGGCCAATGGGATTGGGAGATTGGCTTTCTCAATTTTTGAAAACACAACTTTTCCTTTTTAATGGTGTGATCCCATCAATTTTTAAGTTTTAGGTCCTGCCTCCATCTCTGCATGTAGGTAGGGCTTCCAATTACAAATGTGAATGTATTGGATTGTGATCTGAATTTGATTTTAATCATTAAGATTTATTGATTGTATGCATTTAAAATATCATATGTCTTGAATTCTGTTATATATATATATATATATATATATATATATATATATATATATATATATATATATATATATATATATATGTTTGTAATTAGTTAATTTTGTAGAGTTTATTGTAAATTTTAATTTATTTCATAATCATGATGCTACAAAGATTGAAAATTCGAAAGCATTATTGAGGGGAGGAGATCAAGCGACAAAGCTACATTATTCACACTTTGAATGCAACTTCCATCTTAGGACAAATGTAATGATTTAGATATTTAAAATGATCCCTTGGTGGCTAACTTAGGAGGATTAGGGTTAAATAGAATTGTTAGCAATCTGTGCATAGCTCTTAGGTGTTTTTCAATGAAATTTTTTTCTAAAATCATTTTGTGTTTTTTAAAACATAATTTGAGTCATTATCGAAATCCTCTTTGAGCAACTCTTTTTAGTGCTCAAGAGAAAAAAAAATTTTAATTGGTTTAAAGATTAAAAACCAATAGAGATCGTCTTATGCTCGTTAACGGCCTTCGCTAGAGGGGTCTCTTCTAGATGATTTAGTGAAAAATAAAGCAAAATGTCAAATGGAGAAGAATAGAGCTCGCCTTCTGGGGTCGCTCAAGCGGTCCTCACAGTCCTAGGTCGATTTGAAACATGATTTTCTTTCTAGTGAATACTGTCCTTTGACCGCTCTCCCAGCGATCAAATAGTCATTCACAAATTTGAGTTTTTCTATTGACCAACTTTGCCTTTATTCCAAGCCTCTAAATAGAGAATGTCTTTTCTACTACCAGGACAAGACTTTAGACTAGTTTTTGAGAGAAAAATCTATTATATATTATAGACAACTTCTACCACAACCCTAGACTACTAAAACCCTAGGCTACCTTCTAAAGATTCTACCAAATTTTATAACTTGACGTTGAAGATCTTGGATGGTTTGAACCAAATCTATTGGTGTGTGCATACCAATGATAGTTGATGTGCCTAAAATCGCTTGAGGCTTAAAGGATCTTTTTACGGAGGTGAATGATGAATTCAAGTGAAGCTATACATAACGTCGTAGAGGCTCTTCGACAAAGAAACATATTGAAGGAATTGAGTATTTAACCATGGTATTAGTTAAGGTATAAGACTCAAGTTCTTGTATATTGATTTTAGGGTATTGGATTAGATTTTGATGAACCAGTAGAGGTTTTCCATGCTTTTTTCCGATGAGGGTTTCTACGTCAACAAATCGATCGTCTTCTTTATTGTTTTTACTTATACATTTGTGATTGTTTGTGCGCGCACACACGCACACACACTGTTTTGATGGATTAAATTCTTGACATATAAATCAACCATAATTGCATTTTGAATTTTGAGTTTTGGTTTTTGGGTTCCCCATGTGAGATTGAGTGTTTACGTGCAATATCAATCTACATGGGTTTATGGGGTCGTGGTGGTTGAGAAAGAGTTCTCACCGTTAATTGCTATATTCAAGTGAAAAGAGGTAATTGAGGTAGCAATAGATTTTTAATTGATATTTAATTGAGTTAAAATTGAAAAACCTATTTACTCCCCTCTACGTAGTGTCGTGCGCTCTACGTATATAATCGTGAGGGAAGATCTACAATATTTCTCTCCCTCTCGAAACAATAAATTCAAATTTCAATTTACTAAAATATTCAAATTAAGGTGAAATTCATTGTAATTAATTGCTAAAATTCAATTCAAATTTGTCTAAGTAATCGAATCAGAATCGAATTACATATCTGATTCGAATATGACACTGCCAAAATCTAATCATAATTTCATCTTTTAAAAGGCCTGCCCTGCCTCTTACACCAATTCATGGGCCATCCATATCTTGAACCTAGGCCTTGGGCCCCAGAAAAAGCAAACGTGGGAGCACAGCCCAAAACATCATCTAGGAATATTATACTCTATTGGGCTCCCTTGAAGCCACCAATTCCGATCAATGATTACTATTTTTTTTAGGATTAATTGTATTGGATGTACCTAAAGTATGAAATTTATTTTATTTTAGTCTATA